CTCGCCTCATTACCGAAACGAGGAATTGTTTTGCGGGCGTGGGCGGGGCTGCGGGCGGCTGTGGGCGGGGAGGAAGCAGGTTCTACTTGATTGGTTGGAACTTGCTAACAGGTGCAACGTGACTTAAATTTCGTCTGAGCTTCAGAAGTTTGTCAGGTAAAGGAGGCGTATCAGCTGCCAAAGACGGAAGACGGAAAATTAGCCTTGTGAGGAGTATTTGGAAGGGCCGGAACGCCCCGGGTGCCGCAGGGGGCCGATGGGACCGACCTATTCCCAGGAACGGAGGCGGGAGGAGAGAGGAAGGGACGTGACTGACTTGTTGGTGATGCTGACGAAGCCGCAGCATCCAGCCTTGCCTCCTTCACCACCACCACTACCACCACAACCACCACAACCACCACAACCACCACAACCACCACAACCACCACAACCACCTCAACCACCACCACCTCAACCACCACCTATTTTGTAACTAAGTACCGACGTACGACCATGTCGTAGCTCAGTCGATTAAGGCAGCGTCTGGGATTCTCTCAGACGTAGGTTCGAATCCTCGTCACGGCTCTTGTGGGTTTGTTCATAAGTACTGAAGTTTTCCAATCTCTTTGCCTAGTCAGCGAGTCTACTTTCCCAGCGCCAGTCCAATTTTCTGTTTCTTATTTTCAACAGAGTTTAATAAGGGCCAGATTCACGCAGCAGTTACGCAAGCACTTACAAACCTGGGTCCAGATTTACGAAGTAGTTACGCAAGCACTTACGAACCTGGGGCCAGATTCACGCGGCAGTTACGCAAGCACTTACGAACCTGGGGCCAGATTCACGCAGCAGTTACGCAAGCATTTACGAACCTGGGGCCAGATTCACGCAGCAGTTACGCAAGCACTTACAAACCTGGGGCCAGATTTACGAAGTAGTTACGCAAGCACTTACGAACCTGGGGCCAGATTCACGCAGCAGTTACGCAAGCACTTATGAACCTGGGGCGAGATTCACGAAGCAGTTACTCACGTACTTATGAACCTGGGGCCAGATTCACGAAACAGTTACGCAAGCACTTACGAACGTGTACATCTTTCCTCAATCTTTGACGGCTTTGGTTACATTTATTAAACAGTTTACAAGCATGAAAACTTGCCAATCAACTGTTGTTATTGTTATAAACAGCCTCCTGGTGCTTCGGAGCTCGTTGACTGTTTAATAATTGTAAACAAAGCCGCCAAAGATTGAGAAAAGATGGACAAGCTCCTAAATGCTTGCATAACTGCTGCGTGAATCTGGCCCCTCAGGTTCCTAAGTGCTTGCGTAACTGCTTCGTGAATCTGGCCCCTCAGGTTCCTAAGTGCTTGCGTAACTGCTTCGTGAATCTGGCCCCTCAGGTTCCTAAGTGCTTACGTAACTGCTTCGTGAATCTGGATCTAGGATTGTGTTGATCTTTGCAACATTCCAATCGCAGCTGTCCGAGGCTGCATCTCGCTGGATGGTTGGCCAATCCGTCCTCCTAAAATTTCCCAACGTCCAGAAAACGGTCAATTTAGCGTAGTCTCTCCTAACCTACCAGAGGACCCAAAACAGAAAACGGGACAATAGGTCACTTTCGCCAACCGCTTCCATTTTCTAGTACGACGCATACGTACGAAAAGCGACGTTCTTTGTAGGAGGACAAGTTGCAGTTTGGTTTAGAAAATGGAAGCGGCGTGCTGTCCCGTTTTCTGTTTTGGGTCCTCAGGTAGGTTAGGAGAGACTTTACAGGAGGACACGTTAAAGGAGAAAATACAGTAGAGATACAGCAGAGATACAGTAGATACAGTAGAGATACAGTAGAGATACAGTAGAGATACAGTAGAGATACAGCAGAGATACAGTAGAGATACAGTAGAGATACAGCAGAGATACAGTAGAGATACAGTAGAGATACAGTAGAGATACAGTAGATACAGTAGAGATACAGTAGAGATACAGCAGAGATACAGTAGAGATACAGTAGAGATACAGCAGAGATACAGCAGAGATACAGTAGAGATACAGTAGAGATACAGTAGAGATACATCAGAGATACAGTAGAGATACAGTAGAGGGGGGGGACACCACCAGACCACGTGTCACCCTAAGCTTTACTGCCCCAATACCTTCGGGAAGAAAAAAAATGGCACCTTTCACTTAGGAAGAAATGTGTCTTGCGAGGCCAAAATTGTGCTCCTGTCAGCTAATCCACCGTCAATCACCACGAAAATTCCACTCCTGAGAAAATCTTTTTATCAAGGAAAGTGTCGATCAGCGAGTCATTTTCTTTCCCTTCCAAGGAGTTCAGAATCAAGGTGCCTGCTTTAGCAGGATGCTGTAAGCAGGTCACGAAGAATGCCCCCCCCCCCAGCCCTCCTGCTTGTGGGGGTGGTGGGGGGTTACTGGCACCCCCCTGAAGAACACGCATGCACCCCTTCGGGGGACACGCACGCACTGCTGCGATGCGTGCGTGCGGACACATGCACACCTGGAGACGAGAGACACACCTGCAAGCAGATATCTCAACATATGTTACACCAATGCCGATGGAATAACAAACAAAGCAGAGGAGATATATGAAAGGATTTGCAAAAAAACAACCCGATATAATTGCAATAGTAGAAACTAAACTAAATTATACAACCTCGAATGTGATATTTCCAAGGAAATTATCAATTCATGTAAAAAGGAAAGAAACGAAACAGAGGCGGAGTAGCATTCTACTAAAACAAAAGTAGAAATTCAGAAACAAAAAAGATCGCACTTCAAATTTACACCCAAGTTCCATCATCAAGTTCCATCACTGAAACAAAAACAAACTGAAAAAAATAGTATAGTTACCCACAGAAATCACAATAGAGTGATGCATCAAATGAACACGACGATGTCGTAACTCAGTCGATAAAGGCAGCGTCTGGGATGCTCTCGGATGTAGGTTCGAATCCTCGTCACGGCCCTTGTGGATTTGTTCAACGACAGGAGACTCAGACAGCAAAGTATGCATATATATGAGCCACAGAAAGCTTAAACAGCAGCACACAGAACGAGAGTTTAGCTACTAATCACTGGGGACCTCAATCGTGTACAGATCGATTGGGAATCGAAGAATCTCCATGATTGGGAAGAAACGTGAGAAGTAAAATAAGTGAAAGTTAATTAACAAGTAAAGAATGATTCAACAGAAAGGGTAGGAGATGAAAGGGTAGGAGATACAAGGGTAGGAGATACAAGGGTAGGAGATACAAGGGTAGGAGATACAAGGGTAGGAGATACAAGGGTAGGAGATACAAGGGTAGGAGATACAAGGGTATAGAGATACAAGGGTATAGAGATACAAGGGTAGGAGATGAAAGGGTATAGAGATACAAGGGTATAGAGATACAAGGGTAGTAGATACAAGGGTAGTAGATACAAGGGTAGTAGATACAAGGGTAGTAGATACAAGGGTATAGAGATACAAGGGAAGGAGATACAAGGATGGGAGATACAAGGGTAGTAGATACAAAGGTAGGAGATACAAGGGTAGGAGATACAAGGGTAGGAGATACAAGGGTAGGAGATACAAGGGTAGGAGATACAAGGGTAGGAGATAAACCAACCCTATTGGTCATATTTACCTCCCAAAGTGTGGAAAACATTGAGAACCTGTATCGAGAAACCCCACTAGGAGCCAGAGGTCATTGCATCCCAGTTTTCAACTATAAGAGTGAACTTAAAACAATAAAGCCAAGGGGCCAGAAACAGGAGAGTAGACCATTAAAATATAAAGAGATCCTCTGAAAAATACGCAATGGGCACACGAACTTAGAGGAACGGCAGATCAGGAAATGAAGAGCTTAAGTTAAATAGAGATGCATAGAGGCTGAAGATGGTCTTATAACAACAATAAACTTAAGAAAGTGGGATACAACCTAATAACTCATGGGTCAGTACACACAGCCAAGAAGCTAAGGAAGTAGAAGAAATACAGAGGTCAAAGGAGAAATAAATAAGAATAGATTGAAAAGCCACAGGAAAACTGAATATAAAAAGAGTACCAGAAAGAAAGTATGAAAATAATATTGATTTAAAGCAAATAAAATGAGAGTAAATAACTCGGTGATTAGATTGTGAAAAAGGGGAGAAAAACATACAGAAAATGATAAAGAAATGTGTGACTTACAAAATTCCAGTTTCCATAGAGTTTCCACAACATTGACAGAACACCTCAGCGCTAGAAGACTAGTTCCCGAATTCACGAAGCACTTACGAACCTGGGGCCAGATTCACAAAGTAGTTACGCAAGCACTTACCAACCTTGGACCAGATTCACAAAGTAGTTACGCAAGCACTTACGAACCTGGGGCCAGATTTACAAAGCAGTTACGCAAACACTTACGAACCTTGAGCGAGATTCACAAAGCAGTTACGCAAGCACTTACGAACTTGGGGTCAGATTCACGAAGCAGTTACGCAAGCACTTACGAACGTGTACATCTTTCCTCAATCTTTGACGGCTTTGGTTACATTTATTAAACAGTTTACAAGCATGAAAACTTGCCAATCAACTGTTGTTATTGTTATAAACAGCCTCCTGGTGCTTCGGAGCTCATTAACTGTTTAATAATTGTAAACAAAGCCGCCAAAGATTGAGAAAATATGGACAGGTTCGTAAGTGCTTGCGTAACTGCTTCGTGAATCTGGCCCCAGGTTCGTAAGTGCTTGGGTAACTGCTTCGTGAATCTGGCCCAAAGAACCTAAGTGCTTGCGTAACTGCTTCGTGAATCTGGCCCCAGGTTCCTAAGTGCTTGCCTAACTGCTTCGTGAATCTGGCCCCAGGTTCCTAAGTGCTTGCGTAACTGCTTCGTGAATCTGGCCCCAGGTTTCCCTAGAAGAAAGCTAGGCCAGGAAGGTCAAAGCCAAGCCAGGAAGGTCAAAGCCAAACCAGGAAGGTCAAAGCCAAGCCAGGAAGGTCAAAGCCAAGCCAGGAAGGTCAAAGCCAAGCCAGGAAGGTCAAAGCCATGCCAGGAAGGTCAAAGCCAGGCCAGGAAGGTCAAAGCCAAACCAGGAAGGTCAAAGCCAAGCCAGGAAGGTCAAAGCCAAGCCAGGAAGGTCAAAGCCAAGCCAGGAAGGTCAAAGCCAGGCCAGGAAGGTCAAAGCCAGGCCAGGAAGGTCAAAGCCAAGCCAGGAAGGTCAAAGCCAGGCCAGGAAGGTCAAAGCCAAGCCAGGAAGGTCAAAGCCAGGCCAGGAAGGTCAAAGCCAAGCCAGGAAGGTCAAAGCCAGGCCAGGAAGGTCAAAGCCAAGTCAGGAAGGTCAAAGCCAGGCCAGGAAGGTCAAAGCCAAACCAGGAAGGTCAAAGCCAAGCCAGGAAGGTCAAAGCCAAACCAGGAAGGTCAAAGCCAAGCCAGGAAGGTCAAAGCCAAGCCAGGAAGGTCAAAGCCAGGCCAGGAAGGTCAAAGCCAAGTCAGGAAGGTCAAAGCCAGGCCAGGAAGGTCAAAGCCAAGCCAGGAAGGTCAAAGTCAGACCAGGAAGGTCAAAGCCAAGCCAGGAAGGTCAAAGCCAAGCCAGGAAGGTCAAAGCCAAGCCAGGAAGGTCAAAGCCAAGCCAGGAAGGTCAAAGCCAAGCCAGGAAGGTCAAAGCCAAGCCAGGAAGGACAAAGCCAAGCCAGGAAGGTCAAAGCCAAGCCAAGAAGGTCAAAGCCAAGCCAGGAAGGTCAAAGCCAGACCAGGAAGGTCAAAGCCAAGCCAGGAAGGTCAAAGCCAAGCCAGGAAGGTCAAAGCCAAGCCAGGAAGGTCAAAGCCAAGCCAGGAAGGTCAAAGCCAAGCCAGGAAGGTCAAAGCCAAGCCAGGAAGGTCAAAGCCAAGCCAGGAAGGACAAAGCCAAGCCAGGAAGGTCAAAGCCAAGCCAAGAAGGTCAAAACCAAGCCAGGAAGGTCAAAGCCAGGCCAGGAAGGTCAAAGCCAGGCCAGGAAGGTCAAAGCCAGGCCAGGAAGGTCAAAGCCAGGCCAGGAAGGTCAAAGCCAAGCCAGGAAGGTCAAAGCCAGGCTTCATATACCCAGACACTAGCTACATCTCCCACCGGCTTTTACAACTTGCTCAGAAACTTTAAGACATCATCACAAAGTTGCAGAACACTCAACTTAATAAAGTCTTTCTTCCAAGATCAAAAGTTGCTGAAGATGAGACCTGCTAAAACTCTCATAAGAACCCAAGTTCATGAGAAATGTTTACACTTCAGCTGAGAAAAATGTCTCGACTTCTTAGAAACATACGTTTCTAAGTGTGTGTGTGTACTCACCTAATTGTACTCACCTAATTGTGCTTGCGGGGGTTGAGCTTTGGCTCTTTGGTCCCGCCTCTCAACTGTCAATCAACTGGTGTACAGATTCCTGAGCCTACTGGGCTCTATCATATCTGTGTGTGTGTATGTCTGTGTGTGTGTTTGTGTGTGTGTGTGTGTGTGTGTGTGTGTGTGTGTGTGTGTGTGTGTGTGTGTGTGTGTGTGTGTGTGTGTGTGTGTGTGTGTGTGTGTGTGTGTGTGTGTGTGTGTGTGTGTGTGTGTCTGTGTGTCTGTCAAAGTGTCTGTGTGAGTGTGTGTGTGTGTGTGTGTGTGTGTGTGTGTGTGTGTGTGTGTGTGTGTGTGTGTGTGTGTGTGTGTGTGTGTGTGTGTGTGTGTGTGTGTGTGTGTGTGTGTGTGTGTGTGTGTGTGTGTGTGTGTGTGTGTCTGTGTGTGTGTGTGTGTGTGTGTGTGTGTGTGTGTGTGTGTGTGTGTGTGTGTGTGTGTGTGTGTGTGTGTGTGTGTGTGTGTGTGTGTGTGTGTGTGTGTGTGTGTGTGTGTGTGTGTGCTCCTTGGATCATTTAATATCTTTCAGACGTCTTTATTTATCTTGTATGGCTACTTAGTCAGCAGTAGACTCGACTCTCCACATTAAAGACTCGCTGCCAGGTAATGACTCTAGGTAATGGTGCAGAGTCCTCAGCTCTCCTGACCTCAGCGAAGCCAAGAGGCAGCGTAATGTGTCTGTTTACAAACGTCAGCTGGAGCGAGCTAGTGTAACAGTAGATTTATTCAGCATCTTGCACCGCCCGACAGACCAAATCTTCCCTTTACACCTGTATTAGGACACATCTGTAGGACACACCTGCAGGACACACCTGACACGTTTTCTACCCCTTGATAAATCTATTAAAGGAGGTTCAAACAATAGAACCATGAATTTTAATATTATATAAAATGGGTCTAAATGCTTTTACGTATAATCTATGTTCTCTTAATCTTTCTTTCTCTACACTGATTTTATATATATATATATATATATATATATATATATATATATATATATATATATATATATATATATATATATTTAACGGGTACCACCTCTGGTACAATAGAAGGGACCCATAGCTTCGGAGAAGAAGAAAATAAAGTGTTCAGAGAAGACCTTGTGTATTCTCACTAAACACTTTTAAGACCCTTATTGTTTTTTTCTAATATACATATATATTTAATATACATATATTACAAAAACAGCGTTACATATACGGTACAAAGATGATTATTATACGTTGTCGAGTTCCTCCAGCTCCTCATATATATATATATATATATATATCTATATATATATATATATATATATATATGCTATGATGTGTCCCTGAGGACATCAGGCCTGTCTTTTATGGAGCAGCACTCTGTGCTCTAAAGAAGAAGGATAGGGGTATCAGGCCCATTGCCGTTGGCAACACCCTCCGACGCCTTGTAGCTAAGGCTGCAGTGAGATCTATCAGCCAGGAAGCAGCCACCTTGCTGAAACCTCATCAGCTCGGGTTTGGGATTCCCCTAGGTTGTGAAGCTGCAGCACATGCAGCGCGGGCTTACATTGTTGATCTCCCGGACCAGAAGGCACTAGTAAAGCTTGACTTCAAAAATGCCTTCAATCAAGTCAGACGAGACGCTGTCCTCAGGGCTGTACACAACCATTTCCGTCCCCTTTACCCATTCATCCGATCGTGCTACAGTGGGGACTCTAAGCTTCTTTTTGGGGAGCATGAAATAAACTCCTGTGAAGGTGTCCAACAAGGTGACCCCTTAGCCCCCCTCCTTTTCTGCCTAGCTATCAAAGAGGTCATTGATAGTCTGACAAGCGAGCTAAACATCTGGTACCTGGATGATGGCACTCTAGCTGGAACTCCGGAAACCATTTTGGGGGATATAAGGAAAATCCAGGAACAGGGAGCAGCCTTAGGCCTCATTCTCAATGCATCCAAATGTGAAATAATCTCCCGCAACCCAGACATCACTGGGCAAATACAAAATGCTCTTCCAGACATTCTCGTTGTCGAACCACCGGACTGCACTCTCCTGGGTGCCCCCATTGGCCCACGAGCAATCGAGGAGGTCCTGGCTGCAAAAATCACTGACCTAAAGAGAATGCAGGACAGGATTGACAAGATTGATGCCCATGATGCTCTCTTTCTCCTTACAAGATGCCTGTCTCTCCCTAAGTTGACCTACTTTCTGAGATGTTCTCCATCCTACAGCAGCCCTAAGTTAAATGTGTATGACACCCTTCTGAGGTCCATGCTGGTGAAAGTCCTGAACCTGCCATTGGACGACTCTCAGTGGGAGCAAGCAACCCTTCCTGTAAGACTCGGCGGCCTTGGTGTCCGCACAGCCTCCCAAATTGCTCTACCAGCCTTCCTTTCCTCCTCTCATGCATCGCACGACCTCGTCAGAGATATTTTACCTGCAACCCTGAGAGATTCAGCAGGAATACACGATCCTGCTTTCACTGAATGTTCAAATCAGTGGGATGTTCTTGCAGCCCCAGCAACCATTATAGAGCCAACAAAACAACACAAACAGTCCAGCTGGGACCACCCTCTAGTGGAAAAAGTAGCTGATGCCATGCTCAGCGTCGCAACATCAGACAAGGAGAAAGCCCGCCTCAGAGCAGTGCGTGCCCCCCATGCAGGAGACTTCCTCCTGGCAGTACCCATGTCTGCAATGGGCACGCGCCTAGATCCAGAATCCCTTCGTGTAGCAGTGGCCCTCCGCCTTGGTGCCCCAATTCACACTGAATACAAGTGTATTTGCAACAGGGTGGAAGCAGACCAATACGGACTGCATGGGTTGCATTGCGGAAGCACAAAGGGCTGGCATGCAAGACACAACGAGGTCAATGACATCATCAAGAGAAGCCTCGTCTCAGCTGGGTGCCCAGCGGAGAGAGAACCTCGCATCCTAGGGGTCCAAAACCCGGATTTCCCAGCACTTCGCCCTGATGGCATCACCATATACTCATGGAAGGAGGGTAGACAGTTGGTGTGGGACTACACATGTGTATCCACCCTGGCTGACACCTATGTACACTTCGGAGCTGATCAAGCAGGTGGGGCGGCCAACCACAGGGAAACAGCAAAATCACTCAAGTACAGGCGACTGGAAGGTCAATACCTCTTTGTTCCCATAGCGTCTGAGACGCATGGCCCCTGGGGCAAGAGTGCCTTGGGATTTCTCAAGGAATTGGGGTCCAAGCTCATTGACGTCACCAGAGACCCAAGGGCTTCCAGTTTTTTATTTCAGCGTCTCAGTGTGGCGATCCAGAGGGGAAATGCTTGCTGCGTCCTCGGTTCCTGTCCAGAAGCGGAGGAGCTTCAAGAGATCCATAACCTTTAGGCATTTGTCTTGTATGTTTTGTAACCTTTAAATACACAATAAAGGAAAAAAAAAAAAAAAAGGGAAGGGGGTGGTAGGAGAAAAGCACACAGAAACTGTATTGGAGGGGACCCACATTCCCTCCAATGCGTTATGTGTGGTTTCCTCCGAGGCTATGGGTCCCCCTTCTTCCAGCCAGAGGTGGTACTCCCTTCCCTATATATATATATATATATATATATATATATATATATATATATATATATATATATATATATATATATATATATATATATATAAAGGGGAGCAACTACCACCCTGAAAATCGATCACCACAGCCACTACCTCAGAGTTAGGGTGATTTGGACAACACAGGACTGTAGGGGATCGATCCACTCAACTGTTTATTGCTTCCACGAACGCACCCTGGCGAACAACGCGTGTGTGTATGTATTTACCTATTTGTGCCTCCAGGGGCCAGCTGTTAGCTCTTGGAAGTAGCCTTTCAAATCGTCAGTTGACCTAATGTACTGAATCTCGACTGTATTATATCTACTGCCTATTTATATCTTCAGTCTCACAGAAACACACACACATACACACGTATGAGCTACGAGGAGAGACTACGGGAATTAAACCTCACTTCGTTGGAAGACAGAAGAGTTAGGGGGGACATGATCACCACATTCAAGATTCTCAAGGGAATCGACAGGGTTGATAAAGATAGGCTATTTAACACAAGGGGCATACGCACTAGGGGACACAGGTAGAAACTGAATGCCCAAATGAGCCACAGAGATATTAGAAAGAACTTTTTTAGTGTGAGAGTGGTTGACAAATGGAATGCATTAGGCAGTGATGTGGTGGAGGCTGACTCCATACACAGTTTCAAGTGTAGATATGATAGAGCCCAATAGGCTCAGGAACCTGTACACCAGTTGATTGACGGTTGAGAGGCGGGACCAAAGAGCCAGAGCTCAACCCCCGCAAGCACAACTAGGTGAGTACAACTAGGTGAGTACGTGGTGGAGGCTGACTCCATACACAGTTTCAAGTGTAGATATGATAGAGCCCAATAGGCTCTACAAGCCTCTAACATACACTTCCTGTATCACAACAAACTATTTACGTAACATAGGCCGCCAGGCCATCAAACAAATAGGGAAAAATCCCTAAACATTCATTAAAATAAATTACTCGCACTGTAAATTGGATTTTCTGACAGATTTTTCGTCCATACGGGAGTACATTGTTCAATGGTTATGGAATACATTTAATTATCATCAATCTGTGTTTATGACAGATGAAAATCATCAGCCATCACTATGTATATGTATAACTAAATCACAATATTCATGATATCAATTTCCATCTACTAGCTGAATATTTTACATCAGTTTGTGTT